GAGCCTGGATGCTGCTGAAGGGAGCTGGAACGTGGATGCTGCTGAAGGGAGCTGGAGCCTGGATGCTGCTGAAGGGAGCTGGAACGTGGATGCTGCTGATGGGAACTGGAACGTGGATGCTGCTGAAGGGAGCTGGAACCTGGAGGCTGCTGATGGGAACTGGAACGTGGATGCTGCTGATGGGAACTGGAACGTGGATGCTGCTGAAGGGAGCTGGAACGTGGAGGCTGCTGAAGGGAGCTGGAACGTGGATGCTGCTGAAGGGAGCTGGAACGTGGAGGCTGCTGAAGGGAACTGGAACCTGGAGGCTGCTGAAGGGAGCTGGAACGTGGATGCTGCTGAAGGGAGCTGGAACCTGGAGGCTGCTGAAGGGAGCTGGAACGTGGATGCTGCTGAAGGGAGCTGGAACGTGGATGCTGCTGAAGGGAGCTGGAACCTGGGTGCTGCTGAAGGGAGCTGGAACGTGGAGGCTGCGCCCTGCGAGGCCAGCACGCCCCAGACCTGGTGCCCCAGGAGCCAGCTCGGCCCCGCTCCATCGCTCCCCGGGCTGGGCCCGGCAGGGTGCCCGCAGCATCCCCGCCTCAGCTGCGGAGAGGGGCCGGGCCCCGCTGGCGTCCTGGCAGCGGGAGAGGAGCTGCCCTTGGAGCGGGGGGGGGACACAGGAGAGACCCAGAGGGGAACAGAGGAGCGCGGGGAGCGCGGAGTGAGGAATCACCGCGAGCAGCCCGGCGGGGGGACGCGGACCCAGGCGGGACGCAGGGGCAGAGGGGTGCGCGGTGGGGCCGGTGAGGGGCTGTGCAGAGCCGTGGGGCCCGGCGTGTGCTGCTCGTGTGCCCGTGAGGGATGCGCGCCCCGGCTCGGGGCGGATGCGGCGATGGCCATGGGCTCATTAGGCGAGTATTGGTGTCTAATGGGTGCCATGGCAATGGCGAGGAGGGCTCCTCAGCACCACCTGAGCCCTCTGCCGCGTCCTGGGCCCATCTGCTGCTCCCTGCCAGGGGCTGGAGATCACCCAGGTGGCAGCGCCCATCCCTGCGCTTTGCCGGCCTCAGGGAACCCAAGGCTTGGGAGGGAGGCAAAACCTCCAGCTCTCAGTGGAAGGAAAAGATGGGAGCAGGAGGCTCTCCAGGAAGCGCCTGGGAGGGATGCGGCTGTGTGGGATGGGGATGCAGGGAGTTTAGTGAGGACAAACCAGAGCAGATTGCCTCAAGGCAGAGGTTAAGAGGAGGATTCAGAAGCAGAGAAGAGTGAGAGGTAGAGACCAGTTCTAACCCACCGAGGAGATCCGTGTTTCGTGGTTCAGTAGGGGATTGGTGTTTCAGAGCAATGCCTGTGTATTCCTGGCACCGTTTTCTTCCTCTTCCCTCCCCAAACTTTACTACAGGTGAATCCTCCAGCAGCTCCCAAGCAGGACCCATGGGGTAGCTGTTGCTGCTGGTAGAGCCTGCCTGGGAGCAGCCACCAGCGCTCGCCCACCCCACACATGGGCGCAGGGACCCCTGCATCATGCAAGCTGCTTGCCCACGGACACACGCACACCCACGCCACGGCTGCGGGGCTGCCCATCACTGGGAGCCACCGGGAAAGCTCAGCCCCATCCTGCTGCTCCTCATCCCGCCCCAGTGCAGGGACCTTGCCTGCCTGTGGGCCCCTCTCCCCTTCCCACATCCACTCCCATCTCTATTCCTCCTTATGAAATATGCACAGGGAACAGATGTCGCCTTCTCCCCGGGCACCCCCTCCCTCCCTCCCAGCCCACCACCTCCATCCACCCTCCAGGACCACATCCAACCTCCACCTCCCTCCTCTCCCGGGGGCTCCAACCTCCTGCACAGCCAATGGCATCCCCTCTCTTGACTTTAATATTTATGAGGGGGGGAGCACCGGAGCGGCCAATGAGGCAGCCGGGGTCGGACCCGGCGTGCGAGGCTGGGGTGTATAAATAGCGATGGGGCACATGCCTCCTTGGGGTGCCCATCTCCAAGCACCGTGGCCCGCTCCTGCCCAAGGAGTAGCATGCCTGGGCCCCAAGGCTTCTTGGGGGGTTCTCCCTGACCCCCCAAGTCCATCCCAGGGAGCAGGACCCGGTGCGCACGCAGGGAAACTTTCTGCCTCCTCAATGGACGGATGAGCCAAGCGGTTCCTCCCTCCCTGGATTACCTGGAGCTTCGTCCTAGAAGAGGGAAGCTGGAGCCTGGGAATGATCATCGGCTTGGGGGTAAGGTGGCTGTCCTGGCATGGCTCTGTGGTGCTCTGGATGTGGCTGCGGGGTTTGGTGCTGCTGGAATGGGAATGTGGTAGGTGGGGAGGATGGTGAGAGGAGCAGCGTGGTCCACGTGGCAACATCCGTGGGGAAGGGGGCTAGACTTTGGGGTGAGGTTTAATGCACAAACCTGCGGGTGCATCCTCTGCTTTGGGCTTGGGGATGGGACAGGGGATTTCTGAGGAGGAAGCTCCATTCAGGTGGCCTGGAAGTTGGTCCCAGACAGACTTTGCATGGCCAGGGAGGCTTCGGACATCGTTCCTGGGGTTTTGCTGGAGGCAGGGCTGTTTAGTGCAGGTTTAAAAGAGCTTCTTGTGATGGATGAATGCAGGAGGGTGGCACTTTACGGTTCCTCTGAGGGAAAGTGAGAAGGAGCCGCTCAGAGCACAAGTCACCCCTGCAAAGGAAAAGCGCTTTGAGGACTGGACCAAGCCAGTGAAGGAGGAGTGGGATAAGGAGTTTATCTGGGGCCGGGACTGAAACTTGTCTCCATGCAAACGCTCTGGTGCCTCCTGCCTGCAGCAGCCGAGACCCCCACGCAGGGCTCCTGCCCTCTGTGCTTGATGCACCTCAAATTCACTCCCAAGGACCCCCAGACAGCACCAGCAGCGTTGCTGTCCCACAACCGCTGCCCTCCGTGCACCGCTCGCCATCGCTCCCTGCCCGAGGAGGAGGAGGGTGAAGTGCCTGGGGGCTGGTGCCCTCGGAGGGGATGGGAAATGGGTGTTTGCCTCCCTCCCTGCCCTGTGCTGAAGGCTGGGCTTGCAGCATGAGAGCAGAATGGGCCTGCAGGCTTCCGAGCAGCAGCGCTGGGGTAGGAGGGAGGTAGGAGGTGAGTGAGGCTGGTGCAAGGGATCCGATGCAGCAGCGGGGGGAGAGGGTTTCCTACAAGCTCCAAGCGTGATGCTGGATGTCCATGCCCTGACCTCACCATGGCCCTAGCACCGGAGGTGCAGACCCATCATGTGTCAACCCAGAGCCAACCTCCCCTCTTCCTCCACACTGCGGCCGCTCCGGAGCTCGCGCCTGTGGCTGGAGCAGCATCCCTGCCCTGCTGGGGTCATCATCCATGGGCACGCTGCTCCTGAGGGCAGGATGGGGCTGCATCGGGAAGGAGGTCCTGGGTCCGTGGGAAGGGGATGGGAGCAGAAGGGGAAAAAAGGGGGGATGGAGGAGGTTAAACGAGGTGCAGGAGTCAGGATGCAGGGAATGGCTGCAGCAGATGGGGCTGATTCCGGCACCCGGGACCCACGCTCCCACCTTGGCCGTGGTGCTTGGTCCCTGGTTTGTCCTCCCTCGACGGCAGGGACAGAAGCTGAGCACAAACCTCAGCCGTGCTCCGAGGGCAGTGCAGTTTACAGCGAGCCCAAAGCTTTGTGGATGCCGAGCGCCGCGTCTCCATCAGCTCTGGCCGGGCTTCCTAAACTTCTTGTTTGGGATTTGGGCCTTTTCCTGTAATAGTGGCAGTGGTTTGTGTTACAGAAAACCAGCCCAGGGGAGTTTCTTTGGTGAAAAGTGGATATCATGGTTCAGTGGGGAGCGTGTGTGTGTGTGTGCACAGAGATGCCCGACTTGGGGCACGTTTACAAGCGAGGGTAAATTCTTGCTCGTGAATGGATGTGGAGTTTTTGCCTGGGAACATTTGCACCTATGTGCTGGGGAACGTGCATGTGGATGTGCACCCGTGTGTGTGTTGGAGCGTGCAAAGAAGCAGCCCCGCGTGTTTAGGGGTGCTTGGGGGAGGATACGCAGTCATTTCTATGCAGTTTTATGGGGTTCCTTTCTGCAAACACCCCACACACCACTCTTTTAAAGCGGGATATGGACGATTTCTCCCCAGTCATCGCCTGTCCCCGTCCGTTTCGTTCCCTTTTCTCACTCCTATGGCTCATTACAAGCCTGTCAGGCCCAAGAGGGGGAATGGGTTGTACATCTCCGCCTGGCTGCCTTCCCAGCCACGCTGCCAGCGTTTCCCCATCGGACGTTGGTTCCCCTTCCCCTGCCCAGGGGGAAGATGCGCCTGCAGCAGGACCTGCTTTACCCAGTGCTGGAGCCGCGCAGGGAAGGCAGCGATGGGGAGGGAGGAGAAGGGAGAGGAGAGGCAGCTTTCCCAGCCCGCGGCGCAGCATCCCGGAGGGAGCGGGGAGCCAGCGCCTCTTTGGACACATCAAGCAAAGCAGCTGTGTTGGGTTCCATATGTCGGGGGTGCCAGGCTCCGTGACATACGGGCTCACTTAGTGTACAATGAGCCCCCCCTGCGCTCTGCTTTTTCCCTTTGCTCATCCACCACCTGGCATCTCTCCGGAGAGGCAGGAGAAACGGCTCCCACCTTCTCCCGGAGCCGCTCCACCGGCTCCTTTCCACCCTCCGTGCCCGGGATCCCGGAGCCGATCCCAGGATGGGGTCCTGCTCCGTCTGGGACCGATGCTGCAGGGCAAGGAGGGGAGCAAAGAGCCGGGTTCTCTCCCTGCCTCCCTCGTACTGAGAGCCCTTGTGCTTCTGTTTTCTAGAGCACGCAGGAGTCCGGCTCTGACACCGACAGCTCCGGAACTGGGTCCTGCCACAGCTGCAAGGGAAGAGCCCGCGATCTCTGAGCTCATACAGCGGATATTTCCTCATCTTCCTATTTATTTTATATGCCTCCTGCCATCGTTCACCCATCATTTGCAGCGGTCGCTGTCAGCCACCCCTCGAGTTTTCCAGGAAAAAGGGAAAAACTTCAAATTCCCTTGCAGAGACTGTGACGAGGATGAAGAGGAGGAGAATAGCCCGGAGCTTGCTGTGAGCCGGAGACCTTGTCCCTAAAGCAGAGCAGCTCTGCTCCAGCGCCGTGCTCGGGTCAGTCCGTCCTGCCGCAGCCCCGGAGCACCCATCCCGCTGCCTGCCCTTCCTCGGCAGCGATGATGCTCAATTCGGACCAGACAGAGCTCGACCTGGCCCCGACACACTCCGAGTCCGAGTCCGTCTTCAGCGACTGCGGCGGCGTCCACACGGGCGGCACTGAGGACGCCGGCGCCGTCGGTCTGTGCGCTCCATCCCGGATGGAGCCGGGAGAAGCAGTGAAGAAGGACCTGCAGCACCTGAGCCGGGAGGAGCGCCGGCGCCGGCGCCGGGCCACGGCCAAGTACCGGACAGCCCACGCCACGCGGGAGCGCATCCGCGTCGAAGCCTTCAACATGGCCTTTGCGGAGCTGCGGAAGCTGCTGCCCACCCTCCCGCCGGACAAGAAGCTCTCCAAGATCGAGATCCTGCGCCTGGCCATCTGCTACATCTCCTACCTGAACCATGTGCTGGATGTCTGAGCCGCCCGGCCCGTGCTCACCCCGCCGGCTGCCGCATCTCCGACCTGAACACGTGCTGGGCACCCGAGCCAAGGGCTCAAGTCCGTCTGTCCGTCTACGACCCGACCCACGCATCAGGCATCCAAAACGCTGTTGCCTGTGTCCACCCGTCTGTTCAAATGGACCGCGTCCCCGGCTGTCTGCTCTACCCCCTCTCTGAACCATGTCCTGTATTTCCCCACCACCAAGCCCAAGTCCGTCTGTCTTTCCATCCTGCTCGAGTCGGGCTGGCTCTTTGGTCCATCACCATCTGTCTGGCCTGCTGGATCTGCTGCCTGAAGCCTGGGCTGGCCGTGTCTGCTTCCAGCTTCTGTCCGTCCTTCTGCCGCGCATCCCACCCGTGCTGCCTGCTGGATCCTGAGGCCGCCCGTCTGCCCGCCCCATCTGCTCCCTGACCCACACACACAGGAGCCACTGAGCCCCAGCCTGTCTGCGTGGCGCCTCTTTAACACGAGCCACGGAGAAATGGACCCGTGAAACCTTGTCCGTCCGTCTGTCTGCGCCTTCTCCCACCAAGCACCCCCCCGGCACAGCCAGCGTGGGCACTCTGTCTGTTTGCTGCTGTTCTGCTCCTGGGCATCGTGCTGGGCACCCGAAGGACCACGTCAGGATGATCCGGGACCACCAGGCAGCCCCAGGAGCACCCTTGGGTGCAGAGCAGCTCCCTGGCTTTGCACACCCCTAAAGGATGTGCTGCAGCCCTGGCAGGACCTGGATGCCAGCGGTGGGTTCCCGGTGAGCTGGAGCACAGAGGGATGCTCGCTGTGCTGCCTGCCAGGTGCCGGAGCTATTCCAGGCTGGAGCAGCACCCGGGGGCTCCCCAAGCCCCTCCATTGCACATGGGAGCTCCCCAGAGCTCAGCACTCTGCTCCCCACATCCATGCATCCCAAGCTTTGCTGCCCAGCCCTCTTTTGCACTAGTGCACCGTGAGCGTGAAGCCCCCCTGGTCTGGCCCATGGCACCGACAGGCACAACCACCCCATGGCACCAGCACTTCATCCCCCCCCACACTCTTCCTCTGTCTCCCATTCACTGCTCTGGTGAAAAAGGCTTGGGGGGGGGGGGGGGGTCACAAGCACAGCACAGGGGGCACCGGGACCCACATGTAAAGAGGCTTCACCCCTGGGTGCCACGGCCCCGGTGCGGGGTGACCTTCACAGGCTGGGGTAAACTGCACTTTACCTGCGGCTGGCAGGGCCGTGGGGATGGGGAAGGGAGGAAGCAGGCACAGCCCCATCCCCGGCTTCCAGCAGCCGGGATTCAGCCCGGTCCCTCCCAGCCGTGGATCAGCACTTTGGGAGCAGGAAGGGGAAAGGGAGCCCAGGAGCCTTTCCTCCAGCAAGGGCAGGCTGAGGCTGGGGAAGGCTCCTTGCAGAAGTGAGTGCTTTGCTTTGCCTTGCGCTGGTGGGGGCTCGGGTGGTTGAGGAGTTCGTTTTGCGCTGGCAGCGGCAAGATCCGGCTCCATCCCAGCGGGTGCTGGCAGCTCCCAGCGCCGCCTCGCTCCGGCCCTCGTTCCCCCATGAAAGTCGGGAATACTCGCTACCTCTGCCTCCCAAGGACTCACCGGTGACCGGGGGATCCCGGAGGGATCAAGCAGCGCATCCCAGAGCCGGCTCCCCCATCCCTGCATCGCAAGGCAGCGGCCGAGCAAAGCCAGAGCAGGGCAGCCCCCCCCCTTTCCCCGCCCCTCCCCAGCCCCGTCTCTGTGCCACGAGGATATTTATTGAATTAATTTATTGATAAATGTTATTATTATTTACTTGCCGCTTTGTGCGCTTTGGGGGAAAGGGGAGCCAGCAAACAGACCCAGAACCCACGAACCCTGCTCCGTGCTCTGCCCTGGCGCCTGCTGCTCCGGGCTGCTCAGCCTGAGCAAGGCTTTGGTATTGCGGAGTTCACAAGGAAGCTGGGGAGGGGGAAATGAATTAAACTGCAGCAAAAGGGGGATCTTGAACCGGCTTCCCCTTTGCTTTCCCTTGAACGCTGGTTTTACCCATCCCTTGCGCTGCTCGGCGCCGGGGGTGATGGATCCCCCATGCAGGAGCCGATGGCTGTGGAAGTGGAGGGCATCCCGCAGGGACCAGGATGGGTCCTCTTTGGTGCAGCAGATCCGGGCTCGCTTCACATCCTTGTCTTTCCCCCACTCCACAGCCCCGGCTTGAGCCCAGCTTGGAGTTGCTGGGATAAACGGACCCGGAGCGGCCCGGTGGCTCTGGTGACAGCAGCAGGATGAGGCCATCTGCTCCAGCCATCAGCATCCCCAACCCCACCCCATAAATCACCTTCTCCCTCCCGGGCCCCCCCCCCCCCCGGGAAATCAGCGGCGGCACCGACGTCACCCACGGCTTCCCGGTGTCCCCCAGCCCTCTCCCTGCTCCCTCAGCCCACCCCGAGCAGTGCTGGGAAGCAGGTTTGCGGCTCGTGTCCTTTGTCTGCGCGGATGCGGGGCATCCCCAGGGGCAGGGCTGCAGCTGCTCCGCCGCTTGCTCCAAATTTCTGCCTCTAATCAATTGGCCTCGGCTCAGCAGAGCTGCCTCAAAGGGAGAGAATAAACAGGGGGAGGGAGAAGGGAAGGAGGAAGGGGACTTTGCACCGGGCAATAGCTCCGATGGGGCACGGAGAGGGACCTCAGTGCTCCCAGGTTCCCTTTTTGTCCCAGCACAGGGGTTTCTCCCCAGTGATCACCCCTTGGTCCCCGCTGCCTGCATCCAGACCCAGCCTCCGCACAGGGATGCTCATGCTGGGGGGCCATCTCCATCCCACCTCCATCCCATCTCCATCCCACCTCCATCCCATCTCCATCCCGTCTCCATCCCACCTCCATCCCATCTCCATCCCACCTCCATCCCACCTCCATCCCATGTCCATTGACCTCCATCCCATCTCCATCCCATCTCCATCCCACCTCCATCCCACCTCCATCCTACCTCCATCCTGTCTCCATCCCACCTCCATCCCGTCTCCATCCCACCTCCATCCCACCTCCATCCCATCTCCATCCCACCTCCATCCCATCTCCATCCCACCTCCATCCCATCTCCATCCCGTCTCCATCCCACCTCCATCCCGTCTCCATCCCATCTCCATCCCACCTCCATCCCATCTCCATCCCGTCTCCATCCCACCTCCATCCCATCTCCATCCCACCTCCATCCCATCTCCATCCCACCTCCATCCCACCTCCATCCCACCTCCATCCCATGTCCATTGACCTCCATCCCATCTCCATCCCATCTCCATCCCACCTCCATCCCACCTCCATCCCACCTCCATCCTACCTCCATCCCGTCTCCATCCCATCTCCATCACACCTCCATCCCACCTCCATCCCATCTCCATCCCACCTCCATCCCACCTCCATCCCATGTCCATTGACCTCCATCCCATCTCCATCCCATCTCCATCCCACCTCCATCCCATCTCCATCCCATCTCCATCCCACCTCCATCCCATCTCCATCCCATCTCCATCCCATCTCCATCCCATCTCCATCCCACCTCAATCCCACCTCCATCCCATCTCCATCCCACCTCCATCCCACCTCCATCCCATCTCCATCCCACCTTCATCCCATCTCCATCCCATCTCAATCCCACCTCCATCCCATCTCCATCCCATCTCCATCCCACCTTCATCCCATCTCCATCCCATCTCCATCCCACCTCAATCCCACCTCCATCCCACCTCCATCCCATCTCCATCCCATCTCCATCCCACCTCCATCCCACCTCCATCCTCTCTCTGGGAGGTGGCAATGGGATAGGGCAGTGCAAGCTCCACGCAGCAGCTCCCAAACCTCCTCAGGGCCCCGGCCTTGACATATGGTCCTCATTGTGCCTCGCACAATGGAAACGCTTCACGCTGATTCAGATGCTGGTTCTGGCCTCGCTCTCATCTCGGGTCCCTCGCCTGCTCTTTGTGCTTGTGGGCAGGCAGGGAGCAGGCAGCTCCGCTTCTCCTCCACCCAACTCCCACTTCCCAACTCCTTTCCTGTTCCCACAGCTTTCCTATTCCCTCTCCTTCCCCGTACACATCTCCATCTCTCCATCCTCCTCAAGGCCTCCGGAGGACACCAGTCCCGGTGCACAGGTAGGGGGATGCTCAAGGAACGTTTCACAGTGGGAAAGCAGAACCCACGGAAAACAGAACCATGGAATCCCAGCGAGGTTTGGGTTGGGAGGGACCTGGAAGCTCATCCAGCTCCCCGGGCAGGGACCCCTTCCACTGGAGCAGGATGCTCCAGCCTGGCCTTGAGCCCTGCCAGGGATGGGGATGGCCCCTGGCCCTGTCCCACGTCCCTTCCTCTGCCGGCAGGGAGCAGCCAGGGCAGGATGTGACAGCCCGGGCTGGGAAGGGTGAATCCCTTGTTCCTGCTGCCCCAGGCTGCCTGTGCCCTGGTCCTGGGGGGGGAGCAGCAGCAGCAGCGTCCCCAGCCCCTCTGTGAGGCACCAGTGCCATCTGCTGGGTCCCTGTGATCAGAACTCCCCCTTTCCCCCTGCCCAGGGCTGGGTACCCCCATCCCCTGCCAGCCAGGCCGCGGAGCATCCCTGTGCCGTGCCGTGGGACCCAGCCCCAACCCGCTGCAGGTCTCAGGCAGGGCTGGGATCGGGACAAGGGATAAAGGCAAACGGCCCCTGTGCGACCTCCCCAAAAGCATCCCCTGTTTCCTGCTCGCTTCGTGCTTGGCTCAGGGCGCAGGAGGTCCCGTCCCCATGGCCGTGATGCCAATGGGAGATGGGCATCTGGGAGAGAAAGGCCCTGACCCCAAAGGAACAAGGGTCTCATTAGGTAATACCTGATGCCATGCCTCCAGATGTGGTTGGATGCCGCTGGTCCCAGCCAGGGAGGGCAGCCACCCTGCTCTCTTCTTTTAGACTCCTAATCCCTGGAGTTACCCACCCGGAGCCTCTGCCCTGCTCCTTACGGAGCAGGAAGCCCAGCTCTGCTCCTCGGGACTGATGAGTGTTGGACCTGTCACTGTCGGTGTGCAGGGTGGCGGAGCAGCTCTGGGCCAAGAGAGGGGCCGGGTATGGTGGTGTGTGACATGAGGGCTTTGGAAGGTCTCCCCTGCTCTGCAGAACGCAGACAGAGCTGGTCCTGGGCAGTCCTTTCCGAAGCACCCAGCACCCTGCGTGCCGCTCATCCCGGGGGCTCCGTTGGCCGGGTGCCTCGCAGAGTCCCGGGAGCAGGGTGCGGACGGAGGGGACGTCCCTGTAAATCACAAGGGGGAACAATGGGGCCCTTCCCAGCTGGCAGGGAGGCTCCAGCAACCCCAGCTGGCCAGGAATGAGCTCCCAGGGCCCGTTAATCACTCCCGGAGCCTGAACAGGAGCGAGGGGACAGCCCGGGGCAGCTGCAGAGGGAAGGGAGGGCAGAGGGACCCAAAGTCCTGCACCCTTGAGGTTACACCTCAGGGCCACTCTGGTGACTTGGCCCATTGAGCCAAGTGGGAAAACAGCGGGATAAGTATCCTGGGGTGAGCTGCGTGGGGCACCCCAGAGCAGGAATCACAGTGACGGCTCCTAGACGGGCTCCTCAGTGATAGCCAAGACCCTCAGTCAAAAAGAGGGGGACAAGCTGGCCAAATCAGGGGTCCTCTCAAAGGGCCCCAAGCTCCGTCCTGCAGCTTCCAGCTCCGCTCACCCCTTCCCTCTGAGCCAGAAGCCAGCCTGGACCACGCAGTGCTGGCTGCTCCATGGATGGTGCTGGGCACCACCTGCCTGGTGCCTTGGTCCCTGGGGCACACACGGGCAGGAAGGTGACCCCAAAACGCATGGGCTGAGCTGGGCCAGAGCTCAGACAGCACAGGAACCCTGTGGGGCGGGATGGGATGGGATGGGATGGGGATGGGATGGGGATGGGATGGGGATGGGGATGGGGATGGGGATGGGATGGGATGGGATGGGATGGGATGGGGATGGGATGGAATGGGGATGGGATGGGATGGGATGGGGATGGGATGGGGATGGGATGGAATGGGGATGGGATGGAATGGGGATGGGATGGGGATGGGGATGGAATGGGGATGGAATGGGGATGGGGATGGGATGGAATGGGGATGGGGATGGGATGGGATGGGGATGGGATGGGGATGGGATGGAATGGGGATGGGATGGAATGGGGATGGGATGGAATGGGGATGGGATGGGGATGGGATGGAATGGGGATGGGATGGGGATGGGATGGAATGGGGATGGGGATGGGATGGAATGGGGATGGGATGGAATGGGGATGGGATGGAATGGGGATGGGATGGGATGGGATGAGATGGGGATGGGGATGGGATGGGGATGGGATGGAATGGGGATGGGATGGAATGGGGATGGAATGGGGATGGGGATGGGGATGGGATGGGGATGGGGATGGGGATGGGGATGGGGATGGGGATGGGGATGGGGATGGGGATGGGGATGGGGATGGGGATGGGGATGGATAAGCCCCCGCCCCACGGCTCCCTTCCTCCCTCCCCAAACCTTCCTCTCCATTAAGGCAAAACAAGCCATTTAAATCCAGCCAATGGCGCGCCGCGCTCTCCTCCCGGCTCACGCCATTGGCCAGCGCAGGGAGGCGGGCCCGGTCCTTTCCCAGCCTCTCTCATTGATAGCAAGCGCCCGGCGCGGCTGTTCCGGGCAGGTGACGCGTCCCCGCCGCGGCTCTTGCTCCCCAGTTCCCACGGCCCCATTGAGGGGCGGGGGCTGGCTTTGCAGAGCGCTCTGGGGCCGGGGGGGGAGGGCAGATGTCATTGGGGGTCCCCCCTCATCAGCAGAGGGGATTGCGCTGCTCCAAAGACCTGAGAGCCCCCCCCCAATAAAGGACCCCCACTTTTTTTTTTGGGGGGGGCACGGCCCAGTGTGTTCCAGCCCTCCCGGTCCCCCCTCCCCGCCTGTCCCTTGTCTCTGGGGGGGGGGACGTAGGGGCCGGGGTCTCCTGGGTGCTCCCACCCCGCTCGGGGCTGGACCCCGGCACCGGGACAATCCCGGGGCAGAGCCAGAGCCGGGCCACGGACCCCGTTTCATGTGGGGGGGGGACACCCGAGGGGCACGGGCTTGTCCTGACCCCCACCCCAGAACAACTCGGCCCGACGTGGGGAGGGGGGGGAACGGGGGCACGGCCGCGGGGCTGTCACCCCTCGGGGGCACCTTTCCCATGGGGAGGGCTCCTCCTTCCTGCTCTGGCCCTACCCGAGCTCGGGGGGGGGGGACGACACGAGTGGGGGGACCCGAATCTCGTGGGGCTTCACCTTCAGCCTTCCCCCCCCACACCGCAATCAGCGGGGACCCCCGCGCACCCCCATCTCCATCCCCGGGTGCGGGTCCACACGGAGGGGGGGCCCCATTCCCATCAGCAGGTAATAAGGGGGGGTCAAGGCGGGGTTGGGGGGGGTGGATGTGTGCCCCCCCCCCCCCCCCCCCCAAGACAATGGCCCTGGAGCGCGGAGCGGAGACAATGGGCGGGCGCGGGGGGAGCGGCCGGGAACAGCGGCGCGGGCGGGGGCTGCGGGCCGGGGAGCGGCGGAGCGGGGCTGGGGGGGGGCCGCTCCGCTGGGATTCGGGGTTTCCTCCGCCTCCTCCTCCTCTTCCTCCTCCTCCTCCTCCTCCTCCTCCTCCTCCTCCATCGCCGCAGCAGCAGCAGCAGCCCCGGGATTTCGGTGCCGGGGGGGGGGAGTGCGGGACGCGCACAAAGGTGCGGCGGCGATGGTGAGTGCGGGGGGAACCGTGGTGGGGGGGAAGCGGGGAGCGGGACCCCACCGGGCTGGGGCTGGGGCTGGGGCTGGGCTCGCCCCGCAGGATGGGCCTGGGAAGCCGGGGACTTTCCTGGGCCGGCGGCCAGGCGGGGAGCGGCTGCGGGGCGAGCCCGGCTCCCGCGGGGGGTGCGGAGGGTGCGGGGTTCCCCATAACCCCCCCCCCCTTTCCCCCGCCGGGGTTCGGGGCGCGCTGGGGATGCCCCCGCTCGCTGCCTTGCCCCAGGGCTCCGCTGGATCTTCGGGAGCCTCCCGGTGGGTGCCGCAGCGAGGGCCGGGTCCTCCCGGCTGGATGCAGCCTGGCACCGGTGCCCGTGGCTTTCCCGCTCGGCAACGGGAATGCTTCCACCCGCAAACACCCAGCGGCCTCCAAGCCCTTTGTGCCCAGCACGGGTGTAAGCGCGGGGCTTCCTCCCCGCAAGCCATAAGGGGGACGGAGGTGGGCATCCATAGGGCACCCACCCCACTACCTGCCCCGCACCGGGGCTGGGTGGCCGCTCGGAAGCGCGAAAGCAGGCGATGCTCCTGCCAGATCCGTGGCATCCATGGGGCAGGGTCGGTCCGTCCGTGCCGGAATGCTCACCTGCGAGAGACTCGGCCGGATCCTGATCCGGTTTATCTTGGTCCCATGCTGGCACCTTGCCCTGAGCCAGCAGGGAGTTCCCTCCGCTCTACACCGGGCGCGGGCTCAGACATCGGCCCTGCTGCTCTGTCTGGGGTGAGAGGCTTGATTTCCTTAGGAGAGGGCGTAGAGGCTGTTTGCCCCCTCCAGGCCTTGGTATAATAATAACCAAGGCAGAGGTTAAAAAGAAAAGAGAAGAATTAAATATTATCTCCATGGAGCCTCTGGGAACGGCTGTTGCTTAATCACAGCAATTCGGGATTGTGCTGGGACCAAGCTGGGCTCCGAGGCAGCCTGAGTCAGATGTGATCTCTGCACAGGGCTTCTCCTCTGTATTTACACTGTCTTTGTGCTGGGGGGGGGCTCAGGATGAGACCTGCTTTAATTAGCAGCCGATTTCATTGGAGCCGGTGATGGCTCCTCACCGGGTGATGGTTGCAGGGTGCTGGGTCCCTTGGGGCAGCCCCATCCTGGGGGCATAGCCCAGGGGATGGGCACAGGGCTGGGGTCATCGCCTGCCAACCCCCTGCTCCTTCAGCTCCCTTCACAGGGAGCTGTTTCCACCAGCTCACACACAATGGGGCTAGAGGGAGCTGGGGGCAAGCGAGGAGCCCATCTCCCTGGTGTCAGGCCGGGAGCCCATCTCCCCGGTGTCAGGCCGGGCTGAATCAGCCCCAGGTCTTTGGTGTGACTTTGGTTCTGCTGTCTGAGGCCTAGCAGATGCTTTATGGCTTTATTGTCCAGGCAGGATGCTGGGGAAGGGGCCTTGGGGAGAAGCACCAGCCTTGGCTGCCCTTCCCTGCCTGCTCCCGCTCCAGTGCTCAGACCCATGGGCATCACCAAAGCTGGACCCCACGCCAGGGATTCTTTGCTTCCAAAGGTGTTTCCCACCTTGGGCTTAGTCTGGCCCCACCTCGAGCCCCACGGTCGCCTCGCTCCTTGCCTGGACCCAGATGGATCCTGTCTCCATGCCGCTTTTCCAGGCTCCGAGAGGCAGATGCTGCTGTCTGCCCAGCACAGCCTCGCAGGATTTAGGCACCCAGAGCCGATGGAGCAGATCCAGAATTGACCCAAAAGCGCTCTGCAAGTGTCCCTTTGGGGCAGGAACTGACCTTTTGGGGTGTCACAGCAGCGCCTCGGGACAGAGCTTGCAGCGATGCTCTTGGAGAACACGCTGGAATCAAAGCAACAGCCTGGACCACGAGGATGGATCCCTGCATCTCCTTGGCCTGCCCCGTCCAAGCATCCTGCGGCGCCACTTGGATGCTCCTGAGCAGCATTGAAGCAGCCTGGGAGGCCGGGGTTTGCATTCCCCTGTGCTCATGGGTGAGCGTGGGTTTGTGCCAGCATCCCGGAGGTGCCACCGGTGTGGCTGGAGCAGGGAGATGTGATTTGGGGTGACCTGGCAGCTCCAGCATCTCACCGTGGGGCTGGCCGTGTGCTGGGTGCGCATCACGGTGCCGTCCCATCGCCTTTCCCAGCACCAGGATCCATGAGGGCGACGCTGCTGCTCCCCCCAGGGAGCCCTGGGTGCTCTCTGTGAGCCCGGGATGAGGCAGATGGAGGATGTGGATGTGGGCCGGGCACCAAGCCCTGGGATGGGAGGGATGGAGCAGGTAATGGGGAGCTCAGCTGCCTGCAGGACCCCCATTAGCATCCCTTGGTGCTGGCGTGTTTTGCAATGCAAATTCCTTTTTCTCTTTGCACCAAGCCCTGTTCTCATGCAAATCCCAAGGTTTTGTCCATGGTTTTCCTCCCTCTGGTTCTAGATCTCGGTGCAATCACTTTTACCTGCGTGGAAGCACCTAATGCATCCCCACTGCGACCTCCATCCCTCCCGGACACGCAGTGGGATTGAAATGCCGGGCTTTGTCCTATAGTGGGAATTCCCTGCTGGAGGAGCCTTGGTGAGGGGCTGGACGTTCCTGTGGATATTGTGACAATCCCGAGGGATCCTAATGAAAGCTGGCAGTTTGGAAGGGACACGAAACCTTCCGCATCCAAGCTGACGCTGAGCAATTGGAGAGCAGAATGAGACCCCCGGGGGGGGAGCTGCATTAAAGCCCCCTTGGGCTTCCCACGGGCCTTTCCCGCATCCCTGCGATGCTCCCGGTCGTGCCAACGGACCGAAGAGCTGGAAGCCTGTGGGTTCCTCGCGGGGCTGGGGTTGCACTGGGGCAGCTGCTTTCCCAGCCACGGGAAGGGATGTGGAGCAGCCTCTGGATGGAGGGATGTGCTGTGAACTCCCTGGGAAGACTCCTATGGCTGGGAAGGCTCCTATTGTGTGGAGGCAGCAAGGCGTGCGTGTGTAGCCAAGCAAGCAAATGTGCCACTCGGCAGAGCCCTGTGCTGGGGCTGGGAGCTGCTTCCCATTCCCAGGCTGGTTTTGGTGATCCACCAGCAGCATTCCCACCATGGGCATTGCTGCTGAGGGGTCCCCGGTGTCCCTGGGGTGGGACAGGAGAGCCCAGGCAGGGCTATGGCTCCTGTTGGGTTTCCTGCCCGTGCATCCGCTGCTGTGGACTCCAGCTCGTGGCGTGCCTCGGTTTGTGCAGGCCTGGCATGGGCAGAGCCCTGCTTCCAGCCCTCCTGGGCTTACTGGGAGGAGAAACAGGGCTGGAATCACGTGTGGGGAATCCAGGACCCCAGGGTCCTCCTGGCTCGCTCCGTGACTCGGTTTCCCCATCACCGTGATGCTCATTGGATTCAGCAGGCAAACGCCCGTCCCGATGATTCCCAGCGTTGGGAAGCTGGGGATGGATGGGATAAGGAAGCTTTCCCACCTCGAAACACTTGGATCTGGTTTCCTTGGAGCATTTGAATGCCAGAGCATTTGAGGTTCACAGACTCAAAGGCCGGAGCGACGGTGGCAGCAGCCTTTCGGACCGCCCTGAAGCCCCGGCTCTGCTTTGAGCCCTGTGATGTGCTCCAGCATCATCCCGAGAAGCCATCCAGTCTGGACTTGAAGGTGTCAGGAGATGGCAAATCCCCTCCTCCCCTGGGGCTTTGCTGGGCTGGTTCCTCACCTCCCTGTTAGCAAGGCGAGGTTTCCTCCTCCTTTGCATGTGTCTGGCTCTGGCTCCCAGCCCTCGGCGCTTGCTCGGCGTCTCCGTGGGCTCGCTAAGGCAAAGCTGCTGCTCCTCCTGGAGACAAGGATCCATTCCCAGCCTCTCCACCTCCACCTGGTGCTGCTCAACCGGCTTCTCCCTGCTCTGCTGGGCAAAGCAGCAACAACCGAAACCCTTTTCTTCTCCACCGGAGCGGCCGAGTTGGTCCAGAGGACGGGGAGCTCCCGGCTCCGGGGACCTGTGGAGTGGCTGCTGCAGTCACAGGTTAACCCTGCGGGACCCCCGGGCTGGAGGTTATTCCCTCTGCCAGCCTTTGCTGGGGGAAAGCTTGGCTGCTTTGGTCCCAGTCCTCACCAGCGGGATCCTGGCTCCGGATGCGGGGATGTCCCTTGGTTCATCCATGGATCGGGCTGGAGCCGCTGCTCTGCCTTGGGAAAGGGCCCCAAAACCTCTGCCCATGACCTTGTGCTGTCACCAGCTTGGGACCCAGGGGCTGGGCTCACTGCAGCCCTTCCTATGGCTCCTTGCTTGCTCCCCGCAGAGCAGTGTCCATTGGGATGTGGCCTGTTCCACTCTGGATGGATTAACCCCCATCTCCCAGCTCTGGCTTTGCCTTTGGGAGCTGCACAGCCCCAGGGTGCCCACGCCATCAGTGCACCCCTGACTTGAGGGTGGCCTGGAAGTGTGGCCGCAGCATTGTGGAGCATTAAATGCATGGGGGGATGCCTTGAACGACGGAGATGAGTTGGAAAACCCCATCCTGATTTTGGCCGAGGCATCAGCTGCGCCTCTCCGTGGTGCCCGGCTCTGGCTGGAGGTGCCAGGGCAGTGCTTGGGCTGGCTCTGGACACCTCACATCCCACGGCAGGAGGGTGCTGGTGGTACAGGGCCGGGTGCTGTGCACCGCAGAGGTGATGCCAGGGCAGGATCTGGGTTTGTGGTGGTGTCTGAGGGTGGGTTTCAAGCCCACCCTCATTTTCTTCCCCTTCCCGAGTGCTCATCAGGGGTTAGGGTGGATGTGCCAGGGGAAACGGGTGGGTGACCTGCGGGACAAGGACCTTGGCTCGTGCTGTGCCTGAGGGGCTGCCACGGCCCACACGTGGTCCAGATCCCTGGGGATGCGATGCCCCCCCCTGCATCCCAGCACCGCGGGGACACCGGGATCCTCATTTCCTCCTCTCTTCCTCCCCTCCAGCTCCACCGCAGACCCCCGGCGCGAGCACCCACCCCGTGACACCCTCCATGCTCAGCCCCCATCCCGCTGGATGCCGGCCCCAGCAGGAGGCTCAGGATGCTCCGAGTGCCTCGGTGACGGCGGGGACTGCACCCGCCTGCAGCCGGTGAGTGCCAGCCCCGGCATCCCGGGGCTCCTCGTGGGCCAGGCTGGGACAAGCCTGGTGCTGAGGAGGCCCCTGCATTGTTCCCAGCAGAAACTCAATCCCTGCCTGCAAACAAAGCCCATTGAGGGAATGGGAAGGGGGGGGGGGGGGCTGGCAGGAGATTGGGGGGGTCCTTTCTCTCCCAACCCCATCCCCCATGGAAGCTGGGAATGCCGGGACGAGCTCTGGACCCTGTTGCCATCTCCTAGACAACCGGTGTGTAGGGGGGGTGGGTTGTTGCCATAGCGATAAACGTGTGAGCATCCAGCATGTGGGACAAAAGGACACCCCCCCCCTTTTTTGCCTCCTTGACCCCATCTCCCCCCCTTCTTGAGACTTTGGAAAAGAGGCCAAAAGACATTTGGCTTTTATTTGGTCAAAATGGCATTGCCGTGGTTACCCGGCACGGGTCCACCCCCAAACACAGCACGAGGAGCTTGGGGCGTGCCCAATGCCTGCATCCCCCCAGCACCCGTAGCGGGGATCAGGCAGGACCCCTCTGATAGGGTCCAGCACCCCCAGCACGGGTCAGGCAGCACCTGGTGGCTCCCACCAGTGTCCAGGTCCCTTTCCTGGTGGGATCACAGCCCCAGCTCCAAAGCCAAGGCAGGGCTGTGAGCAGTTGGGGGTCCCCAAAACCAGTGGGGGGCCTGGGCTGGGAGAGCGTTGAGGCAGATCTTGCTTTTGCCAAGGAGTTCTTTTCCCAAGCCAGCAGAGGATGGCATAGGTGGGTATTGGAAACCTTATTGCAGCCTTTCCATACCTAAAGGGGCTGCAGGGAAGCTGGAGAGGGGCTTGGGACAAGGGATGGAGGGACAGGCCAAGGGCAATGGCTTGAACCTGCCCGAGGGGAGACTGAGATGAGCTCTTAGGCAGAAGCTCTTCCCTGGGAGGGTGCTGAGGCGCTGGAATGGGTTGAAGGGAGAAGGTTTGGATGCAGAGTTCGAGGCCAGGTTGGAGCACCCTGCTCTAGTGGAAGGGGTCCCTTTAGATGAGCTTTAAGGTCCCTTCCGACCCAAAGCAGTCTGGGGTTCTAGCATCACGCGTGTGTATGTATTTATGTACTTGCGTGTCTACAGAAGGCTGCAGTGGGAGTTTGGGGCTGGCTCACAACCATGTGGTAGCCGTGAGTAAGTGCTCAGGGTGATGCTATCTGCCCCGAGACAGCCTTGTGATGCTGAACCAGCCTCTGGATGCGGCTGCCATCCCCAGAGCCCCCCCTCAGTGTCTCCCAGAGCAATCCCAGCTGTGTGGAGCGATGCTCTTCCGCACACACCGGGGCTCCAGGCTGATCTCCTGGCTGTGAGATCCCGGCTCCGCGCTGGGGAGCGTGTCCAGGCAGAGCCCTGCGCTGCGAGATGGGCCTGAAACGCTGCCTGCACCCAATTATTCATTCCTGTTTCTGTTTCTTTTTCTCGTGGCCCCCACCCTCAGCACCCTTTTGGCAGTTAAAACCCTGACTGTGGTGGTAATGGAAGCGTAAATCACCCGAAGCAGAAGCTCATCGTTACGGAAGGGGAAGGGGCCGCCCCAAACTCAGCTTGGGTAGGGGAGAAAACAGAAAGTGCCTCAAAATGCCTCAGATTCCTTTTCCCTGTTCGTGTCCCATCCGTGTTTGCCACCAGGGCTGGAGCTGCGGTGGTGCAGGGATAACATGGGTGGTGGTGCAGGGATGACATGGGTGGTGGTGCAGGGATGACATGGGTGGTGGTGCAGGGATAACGTAGGTGGTGGTGCAGGGATAACATGGGTGGTGGTGCAGGGATAACATGGGTGGTGGTGCAGGGATGACATGGGTGGTGGTGCAGGGATAACACGGGTGGTGGTACAGGGATGACATGGGTGGTGGTGCAGGGATAACACGGGTGGTGGTGCAGGGATAACACGGGTGGCGGTGCAGGGATAACGCAGGTGGTGGTGCAGGGATGACATGGGTGGCGGTGCAGGGATAACGCAGGTGGTGGTGCAGGGATGACATGGGTGGTGGTGCAGGGATGACATGGGTGGTGGTGCAGGGATAACACGGGTGGCGGTGCAGGGATAACGCAGGTGGTGGTACAGGGATGACATGGGTGGTGGTACAGGGATGACACGGGTGGTGGTGCAGGGGTAACGCAGGTGGTGGTACAGGGATAACGCAGGTGGTGGTGCAGGGATAACACGGGAGGTGGTGCAGGGATGACACGGGTATTGGTACAGGGATAACACGGGTGGTGGTGCAGGGGTAACGCAGGTGGTGGTGCAGGGATGACATGGGTGCTGGTGCAGGGATAACATGGGTGTTGGTGCAGGGATAACGCAGGTGGTGGTACAGGGGTAACGCAGGTGGTGGTACAGGGATGACATGGGTGGTGGTACAGGGATAACGCAGGTGGTGGTACAGGGATGACACGGGTATTGGTACAGGGATAACATGGGTGGTGGTGCAGGGGTAACGCAGGTGGTGGTACAGGGATGACACGGGTGTTGGTACAGGGATGACATGGGTGGTGCAGGGATAACATGGGTGTTGGTACAGGGATAGCACGGGTGGTGGCGCAGGGATAGCACGGGTGGTGGTGCAGGGATAACACAGGTGGTGGTACAGGGATAACGCAGGTGGTGGTGCAGGGATGACATGGGTGTTGGTACAGGGATAGCACGGGTGGTGGCGCAGGGATAGCACGGGTGGTGGTGCAGGGATAACACAGGTGGTGGTACAGGGATAACGCAGGTGGTGGTGCAGGGATGACATGGGTGGTGGTGCAGGGATAACACGGGTGGTGGTACAGGGATAACGCAGGTGGTGGTGCAGGGATGACATGGGTGGTGGTGCAGGGATAACACGGGTGGTGGTGCAGGGATGACATGGGTGGTGGTGCAGGGATAACGCAGGTGGTGGTACAGGGATGACATGGGTGGTGGTGCAGGGATAACGCAGGTGGCGGTGAGGGGATGCTCGCCAGCACCCCGGTGGATTGCTGGATGCTTCCCCACGGCTGCTGAGCCTCCCCTCCCTCTGCAGGCAGGCGAGCTGTTTTCTCCTGAGACGAGCCCAACCCGGTGATCAAAATAGAGTCCTTCAAGGTGACGGTCGACTTCCTGAAGGTGCCCCTGGGCCTGAAGAAGCCCCCTCTGAAGGAGGCCCTGGCCGCTGTCCCGAGGCCGGGGAGACCCAAGCCCCTCAGCGTGGAGCGGCACAAGCCCCGGCGCTCCGACACCATGGACAATGAGTCGCAATACTCGGGGTATTCCTACAAGTCCGGGCATTCCCGCAGCTCCCGCAAGCACAGGTGAGGGGTTGCTGCGTGCCCGTGGCCTCAGCGGGTGCTGTCACCCCAGCGCACCCAACGCATTCCTCTCTTGCTCCCTGCAGGGAGCGGCGGGACCGGCATCGCTCCAAGAGCCGCGATGGGAGCCGCGGGGACAAGTCAGTGACCATCCAAGCGCCGGGCGAGCCCTTGCTGGACAATGAATCCACGCGGGGGGACGAGAGGGTGAGCTGGGCACGGGGAGGAGCGGGGTTGGCATCCGGGCTCTGCCGTGGGGATGCTGCTGCGATCCCGGCGTGCCCGGTGCTCCGGTCGAGCCGGTTGGGCTGGCCCTGCGCCGGCGGCGAGGGCGGGCGGGCAGCGCCGGTGCAGATGAAAGGGGCCCGGCTCTCGCGGCGCCCTGGGGTGGGCACGGGGTGGAAAAACACCCTGGGGACCCAATCCGTGGGGATCCACTCCCTAGGGATTAACCGAATCCTCGCTCGGCGCCTGCAGGTGATGCCGGCTTGGCCGCGCGCAGGCGGCAGCAGGATCCCACCAGGAAGCGGGTTGATGCGGAGGAGGCTCCGTGCTGCATCCCTCCAGCCCAGCCCCGTGGTCCCATGGGGGTCCCTTGTTCCCCTGCTCTGGGTACCAGGATCCTCTGGCCAGTCCTTGGCTTTAATCCCCTCCCAGCCACCTACACAGGCGGCTCCAGCTCTTTTCATCTTCCCCCACCAAGAAGCCGGCGCTGGCAGAGGCTGGGATGCCAGTGGCTGAGCCTGGGTTCACCTGGGCATGGGCTGGGGTTTGGACGGGTCCCCCTCCAGGCCCTCCACTGCTCCCCATGGCTCCAGAGCCCCCCAGGCTGTGGCTTTAGTTTGCTCTTTGCCGTGGAGTTGCCGGCTTCCCCATGGAAATCCAGAGGGGGGAAATAGGATGCGATAAACCCCCAAGCTTCAGGGCTGCCAAGGAGCTGCGAGGCAGAACGTGGAAGTGAACGGGTCGTTCTGCACCCTCTGGCTGGAGGAGGGAGGGGGATTTTGGAAGCAGGGATGATCGCTCTGGTGCTCCGAGCTGCTGGATCACCGCTGCCTCTGTCCTGCCCGGCGTGATGCTGGAGGAGGAGCAGCGGTGAGGCTGTGTTGGGGCAGCAGCCGGGCATGTTCCTTCTGGCCCTGCTAATGAGGGGGTTTGCCTGGAACCGGGATGCTTCCTGCTCCCAAAGCTGCCGGAGAGCTGCAGCGCGGCGCGGAGCTGCCCACGGGGCTTTCCCATAGGGTCCCGGAGGCCAAATCACTGCATCCCTCCAGACCCCGAGCTGAGGCTTCCACCTCAATGGGGGTGATGGCACCAGGCAGCGCGCCGGGCTTGGAGGTTTGGTGGATGGGAGTTGGGGGGTAGAGGGGGTGCTGGTGATGGGGGAAGCACCAAACCATGCCCTTTGTAACCCACCCACCCTCCTTAGGATGACAACTGGGGCGAGACCACCACGGTGGTGACGGGGACTTCGGAGCACAGCATCTCGCACGACGACATCACCCGCATCACCAAGGACATGGAGGACAGCGCCCATCTGGACTGCTCCCGGCACCTGGGCGTCGCGCTGGCCGGGGCGCTGGCCCTTCTCGCCTTCCTCACCCCCCTCGCCTTCATGCTCCTGCCCCAGCTGCTGTGGCGGGAGGAGCTGGAGCCCTGCGGGACCCCTTGCGAAGGGCTCTTCATCTCCGTGGCCTTCAAACTCCTCATCCTCCTGCTGGGCAGCTGGGCCCTCTTCTTCCGCCGCCCCAAAGCCTTCTTCCCCCGCGTCTTCGTCTTCCGAGCGCTGCTCATGGTGCTCGTCTTCCTCCTCGTCGTTTCCTACTGGCTCTTCTACGGGGTGCGCATCCTGGACTCCCGGGACCGCAACTACCAAGGGGTGGTGCAGTTCGCCGTCTCGCTGGTGGACGCGCTGCTCTTCGTGCACTACCTGGCCGTGGTGTTGCTGGAGCTGC